GTCCTACAAGGGTCTATATTTGACTTTGCCCACTGATCTCATCTCCTTCCCTCTCTTTCTTGCTCACTCTGTTCCTAGCCACACTGATCTTTCTAGAACATACCAAGAAATTTTCTGCTACAGAGCATCTTTATTTACTATTTCTTCTCTCTCTCTCCTCCTCCCCAAAATATATGCAGGACCTATACCTTCATTTCATTCAGATCTCTTCTCAAACGTTCCCTTATTAGAGGGGACTTCCCTGATAACTTTCCAGCACACATCACTTTCTCTCCCTTTTTCCCTGTTATATTTCTTTCCACAACATTTATTGTCCATTTTTTTTACAGTGTAAGTTAAGCTCGTTGAGGGCAGAAAGAAACATCTATTGAGGGTCTCCTATCGGCCAGGTCCTTTTCTAGGCCATGGGGATATAAAAGTGAACAAAACTGATAATACCACTATCCTTCTGGCATTTCCATTATAGAATTATAATAAGCTGCTATATTTTCTCAGTAAATATTTGATGAATGCATTGAATAAATATAGCATACACTGAATAGAGTAATAGAAATTGTTCAAATTTAAAGAATATTTGGATTGGCTCCTCACTCTTTAACTCACTGAATCTCCCACCCCATCTAAAAAATGGTTCTGTAGCTTCCCAGGTGAAAGGCTAGAAATTTATTTGAATCCCAGGACCTCTAGACATTCTATACTCCTCCCTCTAAGGGCTCTTGGGTTCCTCCTAAGTATACTGTTTAAAGAAAAATATCTGAAAGGCATCCAGATGGCCAAAGAAGAAGTCAAACGTTCACTCTTTGCAGAAGACATGATACTCTATGTAGAAAACCCAAAAGACTCCACCAAAAATTTGATAGAAAGGGTTCATGCATTCAGCAAAGTGTCAGGATATAAAATCAACATACCAAAATCTGTTGCATTTCTATACACCAATAATGAAGCACCAGAACGAGGAATCAAGGAGTAGATCCCATTTACCATTGTATCTAAAATCATAAGACACCTTGGAATAAACCTAACCAAAGTGGTAAAAGATCTGTACTCTGAAAACCATAAAACACTGATGAAAGAAACCAAAGATGACACAAAGAAGTGGAACAACATTCCATGCTCATGGATTGGAAGAAAAAATATTGTTAAAATGTCTATACTACCCAAAGCAATCTACACATTCTGTGCCATCCCTATCAAAATACCACCAGCATTTTTCACAGAGCTAGAACAAACAATCCTAAACTTTGTATGGAACCACAAAAGATCCCAAATAGCCAAAGTAATGTTGAAAAAGAAAATCAAAGCTGGAGGCATCACAGTCCCAGACTTCAAGCTGTATTACAAAGCTGTAATCATCAACACAGTATGGTCCTGGCACAAAAATGGACACACAGATCAATGGAACAGAACAGAGGACCCACAACTATATGGTCAACTAATCTTCAACAAAGCAGGAAAGAATATCCAATGGAAAAAAGACAGTCTCTTCAACAAAGGGTGTTGGGAAAACTGGACAGCAACACACAGAAGAATGAAACTGGACCACTTTCTTTCACCCATACACAAAAATAAATTCAAAATGGATGAAAGACCTAAATGTAGGGCGCCTGGGTGGCTCAGTTGGTTGAGCAGCTGCCTTCGGCTCAGGTCATGATCCTGGAGTCCCTGGATCGAGTCCCGCATCAGGCTCCCTGCTCGGTGGGGAGTCTGCTTCTCCCTCTGACCCTCCCCCCTCTCATGTACTCCCTCTCTCTCATTCTCTCTCTCTCAAATAAAAATAAATAAAATCTTAAAAAAAAAAAAAGAAACCACCAAAATCCTAGAGGAGAAAACAGGCAGCAAACCTTTGACCTTGGCCGCAGCAAATTCTTACTAGACACGTCTCTGGAGGCAAGAGAAACAAAAGCAAAAATGAACTATTGGGACCTCATCAAGATAAAATGCTTCTGCACAGCAAAGGAAACAATCAATAAAACCAAAAGTCAAGCAACAGAATGGGAGAAGATATTTGCAAATGACATATCTGATAAGGGGCTAGTATCCAAAACCTATAAAGAACTTATCAAACTCAATACCCCCCAAAATAAGAAAATCCAGTCAAGAAATGGGCAGAAGACAGGAACAGACATTTCTCCAAAGAAGACATCCAGATAGCTAACAGACACATGAAAAGATGCTCAACATCACTCATCATCAGGGAAATACAAATCAAAACCACAATGAGATACCACCTCACACCTGTTCTGAGTGGCTAAAATTAACAGCATAGGAAACAACAGATGTTGATGAGGATGCAGAGAAAGGGGAACCCTTTTGCACAGTTTGTGGGAATGCAAACTGGTGCAGCCACTCTGGAAAACAGTATGGTGGTTCCTCAAAAAGTTAAAAATAGAACTACCCTACCACCCAGCAATTGTACTACTAGGTATTTATCCAAAGGATACAAAAGTGCTGATTCGAAGGGGCACATGCACCCTGTGCTTTAGCAGTGTTTATAGCAGCACTATCAACGATAGCCAATTTATGGAAAGAGCCCAAATATCCATTGACTGATGAATGGATAAAGAAGATATGGTATATATAGACGAACCATGAGAGACGATAGACTCTGAAAAACAAACTGAGGATTCTAGAGGGGAGGGGGTGGGAGGATGGGTTAGCCTGGTGGTGGGTATTGAGGAGGGCACATTCTGCATGGAGCACTGGGTGTTGTGCACAAACAATGAATCATGGAACACTTCATCTAAAACTAATGATGTAATGTATGGGGATTAACATAAGAATTAAAAAAAAGAAGATATGGTATATATATTCAATGAAATATTACTCAGCAATCAAAAAGAATGAAATCTTGCCATTTGCAACAATGTGGATGGAACTAGAGTGTATTATGCTGAGCGAAATAAGACAAATATCATATGATTACACTCATATGTGGAATTTAAGAATCAAAACAGATGAACATAGGGGAAGGGAAGGAAAAATAAAATAAGATAAAAACAGAGAGGGAAGCAAACCACAAGAGACTCTTAACTATAGAGAACAGACTGAGGGTTGCTGGAGGGGAGGTCAGTGGGGGGAGGATGGGCTAAATGGGTGGTGGGCATTAAAGAGGGAACTTGTTGGGATGAACACTGGGTATTATATGTAAGTGATGAATCACTAAATTCTTCTCCTGAGACCAATACCACAATATATGTTAACCAACTTGAATTTAAATTAACAAAAAGAAAAATATGTAGTATTCCATTAGAAATTGGGGATCAACACATAGTGATGAAATATAGTGACTATCACAGGAGGAAATGAGATAAGGAGTGCTACAAATTAATAAGGGAAGCTTCTGCCTTGTCCAGAAAGAAAAAATACTTCATATCAAAACAGAATAAACACTGTAAAGAAGATCAGTGGCAGAGATCCAGATAAAGTGGTTTGGGAGAGAGGAAGAAGCTTCATTCCTTAAGAGAAAACTTGGGAGGCCAGATGAAGTGGTAAACTTTAGAATCTATTAGACTTCCCACTGCAGACCATGCCCACAGCAGAAGGTGATATTGCTCTTAGCACCTCTCCCCTCTCCTCTTTAGCAACCACGGAATATGAAAGGTTTGGTGGTTCTAGAAGTAGCCTCAGGGGAAGAGTTGAAGATAGGAAAACCTATATGTATCAAAGGGTGAGATGATTAGGAGAAGAAAGGGACAATGATTCTCAGTTCTCAGCTTCACCATAGCCTTCTGAAGACTTCAGGGAACTGGCTGCAAGCAGTATGTGAATAATGGGTGCCTTTTACTTCGTGGACCACATTTCCACATTTCCTAGGCTTGAACTTGGTCACCAATTATATGTAAAGTGACTGCTCTTAAGAATGGCCCCACTGGTCCAGTTGTCCATTCAAGGGCTCAATAATGCACCACCCCTAGAGACTAGAACATCCCACTTATCTTATTTCTCTAACTGTCCTTTTTTATTACAATCCTTGTTGTGAGCCCTTTTCACACTTCATTTAGTTCTACTTCTTCTTGCTCCTACTGACAAATTTCTGGCTCCATTTCTTCAGTAGCTCATGCCTTCTGGAACTGCTTCCATCACTGGCCCTTATTCCTATTGACAAATATCAGGTTAAAAATCTGATTTTCATCTTTATATAGTCATATTGTTTTGTAACCCCCACCCAACATATATCTTAGGCAGATGTAGCCAGACACATGCTGTCTTTAAATCCAGATGGCATTGCAGCAGTGCAGAGCTCTGCATTCTACAAATTCCTGTGCCAAGGACATACATTCTGTCATTTGACAGAGTGATGTTGAAACAGCATTCAAAGACCCTGCCCAGGAGCTAGCGTGACATTTTGTTATGCCCCCAAAAATGCATAGCTAGTTAACTCAAAACTGTCTCATCCTCAGTAAGAAGGGCTTTAATGGCACATCATAACCTTGCTGAAGGGGAAATGAACATCATCAACTTACATTACAAACACCAACAATTTGCCAGGTACTGGGCTAGATTCTAGAGTTATATAAAGATAAATGATCCCCTACCCTCAAGGAGCTTATACATGAGTTCTAAAAGCTCTAATTCATGTTTGAGCATGGTAGCTGATTACCAATATTGATATGATTACCATTGGGATTAACACATCATGTGTCACTATGACACTGTCAATTCCAAGAATAGGACTGAATCCTCTTGGTGGCCTTAGTAGATATGGGGTGTCCCCAGGAGAGATGAGGTCCTCATGCAGTGTAATCATGAGAGATATAAATGCTACCATTGCTCTCAGATATACTGTGCAAGGAATGAAAATATCTGGGGTTGGAGGAGAGAGGATCCTTGTATAGTCAGCTTTATGGACTGATTCATAGATTAGGCTGGAAAAAAACTTCTCTGACCTTTGGTTTATGGACGATATGTGAGATAGTGAAGCACACTTGAGAAGGCAGTTCTCAAAAGGATACTTCTCATTTATCATAACATGTGATAAAAGATCACCCAAACAGACTTACCATCCGCACCTTCACTGCTTTTGCTTCTTTTATTGCGGCGAACACGCCTACTTTCCTCTTCAGAGTATGATTTTTCTTCAGGGAAGAAGAAATTCAGAAGGGCCATCTATAAAAATAAAAAGCAGATGAGTCAAAGAGTGACCCCAGTCAACCATAGCCAACATAAAAAAACTGGCTTTCTGTAGACAGTCTAGCTTCACCTGAAATCAGTGTGCCTAAAACCTAAGCCCATCTTCTCCACTGTACAAATACATTTAATTTTTTGGAGCATAACTTAGCTTTATTTTTATTGTGAAACTTTAAATAATATAAAAATATAAATAAAATAAAAATCACAAAAATCTCATCTCTCCTAGATAACCACCATTATATTTCTATACATATATTTTTTATATGTGAGATTATTTTCATTTGGTTTTATACTGCTTATAGCTTGTTTTCTTCATTCAAAAATATATTATCTATGGTCCAAATAGATCTGTCTTTATGTTTATGGCTACATTATATTTCATGATATGCATGTGCCACCTTTGCCATTAATTATTATTATTATTTTTAACACATACTGTAATATTGGTCTCAGGAGAAGAATTTAGTGATTCATCACTTACATATAATACCCAGTGTTCATCCCAACAAGTTCCCTCTTTAATGCCCACCACCCATTTAGCCCATCCTCCCTCCACTGACCTCCCCTCCAGCAACCCTCAGTCTGTTCTCTATAGTTAAGAGTCTCTTGTGGTTTGCTTCCCTCTCTGTTTTTATCTTATTTTATTTTTCCTTCCCTTCCCCTATGTTCATCTGTTTTGATTCTTAAATTCCACATATGAGTGTAATCATATGATATTTGTCTTATTTCGCTCAGCATAATACACTCTAGTTCCATCCACATTGTTGCAAATGGCAAGATTTCATTCTTTTTGATTGCTGAGTAATATTTCATTGAATATATATACCATATCTTCTTTTTTTTATTCTTATGTTAATCCCCATACATTACATCATTAGTTTTAGATGAAGTGTTCCATGATTCATTGTTTGTGCACAACACCCAGTGCTCCATGCAGAATGTGCCCTCCTCAATACCCACCACCAGGCTAACCCATCCTCCCACCCCCTCCCCTCTAGAATCCTCAGTTTGTTTTTCAGTGTCTATCATCTCTCATGGTTCGTCTATATATACCATATCTTCTTTATCCATTCATCAGTCAATGGATATTTGGGCTCTTTCCATAAATTGGCTATCGTTGATAGTGCTGCTATAAACATTGCTAAAGCACAGGGTGCATGTGCCCCTTCGAATCAGCACTTTTGTATCCTTTGGATAAATACCTAGTAGTACAATTGCTGGGTGGTAGGGTAGTTCTATTTTTAACTTTTTGAGGAACCACCATACTGTTTTCCAGAGTGGCTGCACCAGTTTGCATTCCCACAAACTGTGCAAAAGGGTTCCCCTTTCTCTGCATCCTCATCAACATCTGTTGTTTCCTATGCTGTTAATTTTAGCCACTCAGAACAGGTGTGAGGTGGTATCTCATTGTGGTTTTGATTTGTATTTCCCTGATGATGAGTGATGTTGAGCATCTTTTCATGTGTCTGTTAGCTATCTGGATGTCTTCTTTGGAGAAATGTCTGTTCCTGTCTTCTGCCCATTTCTTGACTGGATTTTCTTATTTTGGGGGGTATTGAGTTTGATAAGTTCTTTATAGGTTTTGGATACTAGCCCCTTATCAGATATGTCATTTGCAAATATCTTCTCCCATTCTGTTGCTTGACTTTTGGTTTTATTGATTGTTTCCTTTGCTGTGCAGAAGCATTTTATCTTGATGAGGTCCCAATAGTTCATTTTTGCTTTTGTTTCTCTTGCCTCCAGAGACGTGTCTAGTAAGAATTTGCTGCGGCCAAGGTCAAAGGTTTGCTGCCTGTTTTCTCCTCTAGGATTTTGGTGGTTTCTTTTTTTTTTTTTTTAAGATTTTATTTATTTTTATTTGAGAGAGAGAGAATGAGAGAGAGGGAGTACATGAGAGGGGGGAGGGTCAGAGGGAGAAGCAGACTCCCCACCGAGCAGGGAGCCCGATGCGGGACTCGATCCAGGGACTCCAGGATCATGACCTGAGCCGAAGGCAGCTGCTCAACCAACTGAGCCACCCAGGCGCCCTACATTTAGGTCTTTCATCCATTTTGAATTTATTTTTGTGTATGGGTGAAAGAAAGTGGTCCAGTTTCATTCTTCTGTGTGTTGCTGTCCAGTTTTCCCAACACCCTTTGTTGAAGAGACTGTCTTTTTTCCATTGGATATTCTTTCCTGCTTTGTTGAAGATTAGTTGACCATATAGTTGTGGGTCCTCTGTTCTGTTCCATTGATCTGTGTGTCCATTTTTGTGCCAGGACCATACTGTGTTGATGATTACAGCTTTGTAATACAGCTTGAAGTCTGGGACTGTGATGCCTCCAGCTTTGATTTTCTTTTTCAACATTACTTTGGCTATTTGGGATCTTTTGTGGTTCCATACAAAGTTTAGGATTGTTTGTTCTAGCTCTGTGAAAAATGCTGGTGGTATTTTGATAGGGATGGCACAGAATGTGTAGATTGCTTTGGGTAGTATAGACATTTTAACAATATTTTTTCTTCCAATCCATGAGCATGGAATGTTGTTCCACTTCTTTGTGTCATCTTTGGTTTCTTTCATCAGTGTTTTATGGTTTTCAGAGTACAGATCTTTTACCACTTTGGTTAGGTTTATTCCAAGGTGTCTTATGATTTTAGATACAATGGTAAATGGGATCTACTCCTTGATTCCTCGTTCTGGTGCTTCATTATTGGTGTATAGAAATGCAACAGATTTTGGTATGTTGATTTTATATCCTGACACTTTGCTGAATGCATGAACCCTTTCTATCAAATTTTTGGTGGAGTCTTTTGGGTTTTCTACATAGAGTATCATGTCTTCTGCAAAGAGTGAACGTTTGACTTCTTCCTTGCCCATTCGGATGCCTTTTATTTATTTTTGTTGTTGTTTTTTGATTGATGAGGCTAGGACTTCCAGTACTATGTTGAACAACAGTGATGGGAGTGGGCATCCCTGTTGTATCCCCTTCACCTTAGGGGAAAAGCTCTCAGTTTTTTCCCCATTGAGGATCAAATTAGCTGTAGGTCTTTCATATATGGTCTTTATTATGTTGAGTTATATTCCGTCTATACCTACTTTCTTGAGGGATTTTATCAAGAAAGTATGCTGTCCTTTGTCAAATACTTTCTCTGCATCTATTGAGGGGATCATATAGTTCCTGTCCTTTATTAATGTAGTGCTTTGCATTGATTGATTTGTGGATATTCAACCACTGTTGAAGTCCAAGGATAGAACCCATTTGGTCATGGTGAATAATCCTTTTAATGTACTGTTGGATCCTATTGGCTAGTATCATGTTGAGAATTTTTGCATCCATGTTCATCAGGGATATTGGTCTATAATCCTCCTTTTCAGTGGGGTCTTCATCTGGTTTTGGGACCAAGGTAATGCTGCCCTCCAAGAGTGAGTTTGGAAGTTTTCCTTCCCTTTCTATTTTTTGGAACAGTGTCAGAAAAATAGGTATCAATTCGTCTTTAAATATTTGGTAGAATTCCCCTGGGAAGCCATCTGGACTCTTGTTTTTTGGGAGATTTTTGTTTACTGATTCAATTTCTTCACTAGTTATGGGTCTGTTCAAATTTTCTATTTCTTCCTTTTTCAGTTTTGGTAGTTTATATGTTTCTAGGAATTTATCCATTTTTTCCAGATTGTCCAATTTGTTGGCATATATTTGTTCATAATATTCTCATAATTTTTTTGTATTTCTATGGTGTTTGTTCTGATCTCTCTTCTTTCATTTGTGATTTTATTCATGTGGGTCTTTTCTCTTTTTGATAATCTGGCTAGGGTGTTATCAATTTTGTTAATTCTTTCAAAGAACCAGCTCTTAGTTTCATTGATCTGTTCTGCTGGGTTTTTTTAAATTTCTAGATCATTTATTTCTGTTCTGATCTTAATTATTTCCCTTCTTCTTCTGGTTGTGGGCTTTATTTGCTGTTCTTTTCCTAGCTCTTTTAGTTGTAAAGTTAGATTGTGTATTTGAGACTTTTTTTTTGCTTCTTTAGGAAGGCTATATTGCTATATATTTCCCTCTTAGGACCACCTTTGCTGTATCCCAAAGGTTTGGGAGTGTTGTGTTTTCATATTCATTTGCTTCCATGTATTGTTTTATTTCTTCTTTAATTTCCTGGTTAGCCCATTCATTCTTTAGTAGAGTGTTCTTTAACCTCCATGTATTTATGGTCTTTCCAATTCTTTTGTGTGGTTGACTTCAAATTTCATAGTGGTGTGATCGCAGTATTTTTGTACTGGGTGAGGCTTGATTTGTGACCCAGTATGTGATCTCTTCTGGAGAACGTCTTATGTGCCCTTGAAAAGAATGTGTATTCTGCTGCTTCAGGATGGATTGTTCTGCATATAGCTGTTAAATCCATTTGGTCTAGTGTGCCATTCCAAGCCATTGTTTCCTTGTTGATTTTCTGCTTAGATGATCTCCCCATTGATATAAGTGGGGTGTCAAAGTCCACTACTGTCATTGTATTATTATCAATGTGTTTCCTTAAGTTTGTTATTAACTGATTTAAATATTTGGGTTCTCCCAAGGTGGGGGTATAAATATTTAGAATCATTAGATCTTCTTGTTGGATAGACCCCTTTATTATGACATAGTGCCCATCCTCATTTATTACAGTCTTTGGTTTAAAATCTAGCTTGTCTGATCAAGTATGACTGCTCCAGCTTTCTTTTGATGTCCATTACCATGATAGATGATCCTTCACACCCTTACTTTCAATCTGGAGATGTCTTTGGCTCTAAAACTGGTCTCTTGTAAGCAACATATTGATGGGTGTTTTTTTTTAATCCATTCTGATACCTATGTCTTTTGATTGGAGCATTTAGTCCATTTACAGAGTAATTATTGATAGATATGAATTTACTGCCATTGCATTACCTGCGAAGCCACTGTTCCTGTGGATTATCCCTGTTCCTTTCTAGTCTTTGTTGCTTTTGGTCTCTCTTTCCCACTCAAAGGGTC